TAAGCAATGTGTACACGCATGGGTACATTTGAGGTGTCGTACTGTTACTTTTACCGTTGGCATAGCAATGTATTGGATTTCTTTCAAGTTTGTGCTGAATTCTGCCTTCAGAACCAAGTTAAGGGGATGTTAGGCAGTTAATTAAACAAGTGACCAGTGGCGCATGACTTTCTTGTTCCCATTAGCCCATGCTCTGTTGTGTTAGCAATTTCTGTTGTCACGAGCTAGTCTTACTATGGGACCAGTGCACCTGTAAATTTTACACAAACATCACTAGTTGTGTGTGCGAAGAACACAAGCGCGGGGAAGCATGTAGTGTATGCACTTCTGGGTGATATACCTACTGAATACTATAGTTTATGGTCACAAACTAAGCATAAGTGTCCATACATATTGAGATGTTGAAGCATTTATAGCCTCAATGTACAGTGCAACAAGTAGCAAGAATAATTACCCAGGTAGCCTGATCTTATTCTATGAATAGTGAAATTTATTGGATCAATGCGCAAAGTGCACACCTTCTAAGTTATAAATGTGTGTGACTTCTGTAGTTTATTCTTTAGTACTGTATGTGTTCTGATTCCACCTCTTAATATTATGGTTTCTATGCACATGCATTGGCTGATCGAATATTTTTTACTTCATCATCAGAGAAACTAAGATATCACACACTTAGTAAATAGCTTGCACTTATAACTATAACCAGTAAACAATGCCTCAGCGTTGGTGACATAGGTGTCGAGATCCGACTTGCATTCAGGTGTTCTAGTCAGATGAAGGTTGCTAAACATGGACATGGGTGTAGGATACCACTCAGATTCGTGTTTCCGGTTCGGCAAAAGCAAAATTAGGACAGGGAGACAGGCCTTGACTGACTCAACTGAGCGTCCATCCTGCAACCTGATGCATACACCCATCTCTTTTGTCTCGTTGCATGTACATTGTTTAGACCGCCAAGTTATTGGCATAGCGCAACAGATGTCTGTTTGAGCCTGTGCCGTGTGCATGTAGTTTGGTTATGCAAGCAGTAATTAATCACATGCAATTATTGCATGTGCCCTTTATTGTTTTCGTTGGGCAACTGGGTCCTGCTTGTTTTCATGACTAACAGTCACCATTGCTTTGGTAATTTTGAAGTTTTCATCTCTTTTGTAATTTAAAGGTCAGCATTTGGGGGTTATGTGCATCTCATCTTTACAAAGATTCAATATGATTTGGGGTTTAGTATGACATAGCAAGATCAGAGCATGTTACAGGCATTATATATTCTAGATTTGTTGGATCTTGGATTGAAGGTCTGGCTTCCCTCTAGATCTTGCTATGTGTGAACGTCTTCAAAATTTGTTAGATCCATTGGCCGATGAATATATTTCTTGTAGATTTTGGACACCATATTTTTGGTGCATCAGATTGAACATGATGTGGAATGGGCAGTCTTGGATCAAAGAACTGCTCCCAAGTTGGAGAAATTATTCCAGTTTGTACTAACAAGATGCCGGAGCAAGATAAGGAGATGTGTAAGGTCGAGAAAGAGGAGTTATTATAGTTGTTCAGTGAATGATGACTTGTACCATACTGTTTTGCACTTTTTACCATGTTCCAGGCCACAGTTAGCTAAGTCAGCTGAACAAAGAGACGTTGACAGATAGTTATACTTTGGTGCGACATAGTCCTGTCTTCATTACACAATTACTGCTAGTCTAGTACTGAGCCAGCAATGCATATGAGAAATAACTACTAGTCTAGTGCCGAGTCAGCAATGCATATGAGATGTGATATTTCATTAAGGCTAACACTGGTTTTGTTGATCTACCATTTCCTTGGTATGTTATTCTGTAGTCTGTAGTTATCTTCTGTAAGCTAATCTTTTCCTACATTAATCTCAAATGATCCGCCTGAGGAAATGTTTGTGCAAATAAAGTTGATTCTGAGTCCATAGTTTTTGCCCTTCTCTTTGTACAGAGAATCTGCTGCTTACAGCGGACCAGAGAACAGTTAAGCTCGTCGACCTTGGTTTAGCAAGAGAAGAGACGTTAACAGAGATGATGACCGCAGAAACAGGAACATACCGTTGGATGGCTCCCGAGGTTTGTGCTACTGCAGTTTCATATCTTTCAGTTCTTGAACCTTTTCATTTCTTTTTTATTATGTGATTAACCTGAAATAATTCAACAGTTGTACAGCACAGTCACATTAAGGCACGGAGAAAAGAAACATTACAACCACAAAGTGGATGTTTACAGCTTTGCAATTGTGTTATGGGAACTACTGCACAATAGACTACCCTTTGAGGGCATGTCTAACCTGCAAGCTGCATATGCTGCCGCTTTCAAGGTAACATTAGATTTTTAGAGTATAATCATACGCATTTGCTGTCTATAGACTTTCTTGAACCTATTTATGTTGCAGGGAGTTCTGATTGTTTTGAATATGTTTTATCATGCATTATTCCATAATGCATACACCTGTATCATATATTAGTAATTTGACCTTATGAGACCTCATTTTCTGCAGAACATCAGACCAAGTGCAGATAATTTGCCGGAGGAGCTGTCAGAGATCCTAACATCCTGCTGGAAAGAAGACCCAAGCGACAGACCAAACTTCACCCAGATAGTTCAAATGCTTCTCCATTACCTCTCAACCCTTTCACCGCCAGAACATATGGCCCCTGCTCGCACATTCAGTTCGGAGAATGCAATCTTACCTCCTGAATCGCCTGGGACGAGCTCTCTAATGGCTTCTCGAGGTGATATCACGCCTAAAGGCAATATTGAAGACAAGCCAAGGGGCTTCTTTTTCTGCTTCAGCCAGTGTTATTAGCCTCACAGATGGAACAAGGGAACTCCCAAGATGATGCAAAACATCAAAAGAACACACCCATAGTCCATACCCAAAGCATGGCAGGAGTCCCTGAAAACTGTTGTTTCTGCTCATCAGGCCACCCCTTCTTCTCTGACATGTTTGAACATATCGGCCGGGTAGATCTGAGTAACCTTTTGGCTCCTGCTAGTAATGGTGAAAATAGTTACTATATCGTATATTTTCCATGAACCTTCCATATCAAAATTGCGCGCCCATCGTATAGTAATAATTGGCATTAATCATTTACTCACTTGGAAAGGACACTGGACGACTTCCTTTGTTCCATAACTCTGTTTTTTTTTTGCATCATTAATGCTGCTATCCTGAGTCTGTATTGGTGCTAGAGTTAAAGGCTGCGAGTGGGACTGCTAACTCAGGGGCAGAGCCAGAGAAAAAGAATAACCCCGATGCACAAAACACTTATGCAATGATATACTCTCTCCGTCCCAAAATAAGTGTTTTAACCCTAGTACAATTTTAAAAGTTAAGACATTTATTTTGAGACAGAGGGAGTAGTATGTAATTAAGCCAAACTCTACTAATGGTAATGATTTTGGAATCTGATAATGCCCAATGCGAGGATGACAACTTCGTTTTTCAGTTTAGTTTTTGACAGAAAATCGCCGTTTGTGTCAATTTTTTTTTTTGCCATGTGTATCAACTAACTTGCCGTCCTTGCATCACTAGAATTGTCGTGTGAAGCACCATTTGCAAACAACGCCTATATAATATTAGCAAAAAACGTCACCTGACCTTGAATATTCCATAGCCTATATTGTAGGCGTTCTAGAAACCAGGGTATCCAGACTTACTTTCCTGCGGCTTATGGCGTGGCTCTATCAACGGTCTGGTACGGCCCACCTTCAACTTCGGCAAGACAAGACCCTCGCGAGGGGCTAGGCCTCGCGAGGCGGACGACACCAAGACCTCCGGAGGGAGCGGAGATTCCTATGCAAGCACCCACCTCATGAGATTTGGGTGACGCAAGCCCTAACGACCAAGGCCAGGCGGGCACCGGCGGACGTCGAGTAGCAGGTTTCCTCTTTGATGCTAAGGAGGCAAGCGCAGGCGCGGGGTCCCAAAGACTCAGCCAAAGGTTTCCATTCCAGTGCATCGAGACCAAGACCGCCAGGATGGCAGGACGGATGTCATCATCAAGCCCACCACGGCGTCACGAGCAGGCGCTTTGCAGACGAAGACCACATTTCGTCAGGATAGAATGTACTACTTGTCCTCCTTCAAAATTGGCCACTGTGGGATCCCTTGCCGCCTTTGTTTTGGAGGAAGAGGACCAAGGCCCTATAAATATAGCTAAGCCACCACCGTAGAAGGGATCCCCAGATCAAGAGACTTCTCTAGCTCACATCAACACAAGAACATACCTCCTGAGGTTGTTCTTCCCCTGTACAAGCTCATCCTCAGCCCCTCGCGAGGCTAATCCACCCCAAAGCAGGAGTAGGGTCTTACACCGCAAGGTCGCCCGAACCTGGGTAAATTGCTGAGTCCATTTCCTTTCCTGCTCATCGAGCTAGGACGTGAGAACGCCGAGTTGGCTGGCTGGAGAGGTTGAGTTCTTCGCACACGCCCCAGAATTCGAACCTTTCTTGGGTCCACGGAGCCTGAATCCGACATTTGGCGCGCCAGGTAGGGGGCGTGTCGAAGCCTCTCTTTCGTTGGTCGTTCTGCCGTTCTCATGGCCGACGCTCGTCGAGTTCGTGTCGAGCGCCGATCAGCCCTCGCCGCTCGCGTTGCTCAAACAGTGCCTGCGGGCGACGGCGCTCCCCGCCGCTCCCTGTCACCTGCAGCTAATGCTGCCATCGGCCCCGTGGTCCACGAGCAGCAAGCCTCGTCATTACCGCCTGCCGTGTGGCGCGATGGTCGCACCGCCACTCCGTCATTTACTCCGACGTCTACTTCGTCCTCTCATGCTCATCGCGGGCCGGCGAACGCACAAACTTGGTTGCTCATGGCGCGCGAGTTCCTGCGTTATCACCCGGCCGATGATCTCTACGAGAATTGGTTGGACCACATCGTCGAGCTCGTCAACGCCGCTGGAGAGGCTCCCGCACCGTCTCATTCACTGCCTCCCCCGCAGCCTCAGGCGGGTGACGTGGCCCATGGTACGCCTCCTCCTCCTCTCCGGCGCGATGTCATCCCCGAGCCAAGGCGTGAGGCCCCCCAGCGCGGCCCGCAACGCAGGGCACTGATGCGCGACGAAGAAAGCTGTCAGGTGGTGCAGCGGCCTCAAGGAGAGGCGCGTGCGTTCCCAACACCGCCACGCCAGGACCGTGTGCCACCCGAGGCGGCGGCATGCAGGCTCCAAGACCAGGCTCCCCCTCCACGACGGGCTGCCGAGCGTTCACTCCGGAGCTGCACCGCGTCGTCTGGCCCGGCAAGTTTAAGCCAGATCTGCCTCCGCGCTACGACGGCACCTCTGACCCCACTGAGTTCCTCCAGATCTACGAGCTGAGCATCGAGGCGGCGAACGGCGACGAGAAGGTCATGGCGAACTGGTTTCCCATGGCTCTCAAGGATGGCGCGCTCTCGTGGCTCCTAAATCTCCAAGTGGGATCAATTCCTGGGATGAGCTGCATGAGCGCTTCATTGCCAAATTCCAGGGCCCTCGCAGCCATGCCCCCGCTGCAGGCGACCTGTAACGCCCTCGATGTGGCTATATCTCCCACGTGTCGAAGCACGACTTAGAGGAATAACCGCATTGAAAGCAATGTCACAAGTGAGGTAATCTTCACACTACCCATGTAATACATAAGGGAAAGAGATACATAGTTGGCTTACAATCGCCACTTCACACAATTATATGAATAAAGCATTACATTCATCCAAATACACTCAAGTTCCGACTACGGAACCAAAAGTAAAAGAAGACTACCCCAAATGCTACACAGATCCCCGATCGTCCCAACTGGGCTCCACTACTGATCAACTAGGACGAAACAACACAAAGGACAAGATCTTCATCGAGCTGCTCCTTGAGCTTGGTTGCGTCACCTGCACGATATCATCGGCACCTGCAAACTGGTTTTGGAAGTATCTGTGAGTCATGGGGACTCAGCAATCTCACACCCTCGCAATCAAGACTATTTAAGCTTATGGGTAAGGTAAAGGTATGAGGTGGAGCTGCAGCAAGCGACTAGCATATATGGTGGCTAACATACGCAAATGAGAGCGAGAAGAGAAGGAAAAGCACGGTCGAGAAACTATGGTCAAGAATTGATCCAAGACTACTTACGTCAAGCATAACTCCAACACCGTGTTCACTTTCCGGACTCCGCCGGAAAGGGACCATCACGGTTACACACGCGGTTGAGGTATTTTAATTAAGGTCAACTTCAGGTTTTCTACAACCGGACATTAACAAATTCCCATCTGCCCATAACCGCGAGCACGACTTTCGAAAGTTCAAATCCCTGCAGGGGTGTCCCAACTTAGCCCATCACAAGCTCTCACGGTCAATGAAGGATATTCCTTCTCCCAATACAACCCGATCAGACTCGGCATACCGGTTACAAGACATCCTTGACAATGGTAAAACAAGTCCAGCAAGACCGCCCGATGCGCCAACATCCTGATGGGAGCTGCACATATCTCGTTCTCAGGGCAACACCGGATGAACACTAGTACAGCTAAAACCATCCCTCAAGTTTCCTCGAGGTGGCGCCGCAAGTGGCTCTATTTCGGACCAACACTTAGACAAGCACTGGCCCGGGGGGGGGGTTAAAATAAAGATGACCCTTGGGCTGGCCTAACCCAAGGGAAAAAGAGGCTAGGTGGCAAATGGTAAAACCAAGGTTGGGCCTTGCTGGAGGAGTTTTATTCAAGGCGAACTATTAAGGGGTTCTCATTATAACCCAACCATGTAGGGAACGCAAAATCCGGGAACATAACACCGATATGACGGAAACTAGGGCGGCAAGGGTGGAACAAAACACCAGGCATAAGGCCGAGCCTTCCACCCTTTACCAAGTATATAGATGCATTAATTAAACAAGAGATATTGTGATATCCCAACAAAATATCCATGTTCCAACGAGGAACAACTCCAATCTTCACCTGCAACTAACAACGCCATAAGAGGGGCTGAGCAAAGCGGTAACATAGCCAAACAATGGTTTGCTAGGACAAGGTGGGTTAGAGGCTTGGCTCAACAATATGGGAGGCATGATAAGCAAGTGGTAGGTATCGTAGCATAGGCATAGCAAAAGAGCGAGCAATTAGCAAGCAAAGATAGAAGTGATTTCGAGGGTATGGTCATCTTGCCTGAAATCCCGCAAGGAAGAAGAACGAGTCCATGAAGAAGACAAATGGACGTAGTCGAAAGGGTCCTCATGAACGTGACGTTATCAGAACCAACCCGAAGAAGCAACATCGGAAAGAAGCACACAACATAGTAAACAACCAACACACGAACATGGTATGATATGCGGGATGCGGTATGCGGTGCATATGCATGATTTGGAAAGGAATGATTGAACCTAGTCCAAGAGTTCCACTAGAAAGAGGAGTTGATTTCGGTTGAAATCGATATAAAGATCACAGGAATCGGATGCACGGTTTGGAAATGGCAAGCAAAACAAATATGGCACCGGTCTGCGATAAACAGCAAGTAGCCATCTAAATGCATCAAGATAAATGCGCTACAGCACTCAAACATGGCAATAAAATACATGGCAGAGATCCACTCATGAAGCTTGCCAAAATATTAACACTGAGCTACGGCTAATTCATCCATTAACAGGTTCAAACAAGCATGGCAAAAATGCAAAAGATAACAGGTTTCAGACTTAGAGAAATAACAACATGACAGGAATTTATCATCAGGAAGCAATGTTTAGAGCATGATAGCTATATGCTACAGGAACATATCATGGCAAAGCAAGGCATGGCATGAAGTTACTCTAAGCATATAACAAAAGTCCCTTAGTGACCATGAGCCCAAAGGGATCAGAGAATACAATTGCAAGCATGTGAACAAAGAAAAAATATTATCAGATTCAGACTTAGCATAGCAAAACAGTTAACAAGTAGGCATGTTTACGAGCTCGATGCACTCACTACAAAGCATGGAATGACAAACTAAGCATACACCCAGCAAGAAGACATGTCATAGAAGCTATACATGGCAAGAACAACAACATAGCATGCACGGATCAATAGCAACATCATCGGCAAAATCGCTAAACATGTCAACAATCTGCCAGGATCATTTTATAGCAAAAGTAGAGCTCGATTGACTCAAGCTAGGGTGCTCCATAAATGCAAAAAAAATACATGGATGGATAGAGAACCACAATGTTAACAAAACATCCTTACTGATCATCCTCAAAATAGGCACGGATCACTAGGAAACAACATGAACATATGGCATAACAACAAAATCAGGACAAGGACTTGGTGAAATTGTAAGTCCCTGAAATCAGCATCAACGATTACGCTATTTTGCATGCTTGTGCTAGTCACCACAAAGATCACAAAAATACATGGCATACACCCCTGTAAATATGGCATGGCATTCTACAAAACACATGTAGAGCTCAGGATCATAGCATGCACACATTAATCATGGCAAAAATGACAAAAGGCCATTTGCTGAAACAGAACTGAAATATTCCACACATAGCCCTCTTCCAACAGCATTTCGGGCATCAAGATGAGCTCAAATGAAAATGGTGCAATGAGATGAAATAATGTACTCATCGAGACGAACATTTTGATATGCTATACGCACAAATCGAAACCACGGATGCAAAGTTATGATGCGATGAAGAAAGCCAAAAATTACTGAGATTAGGGCAAGAAGTCAACCCTAGTTCATCCAGATCTGGATCCGGGGCACGGACTTCGAGGTTTATCGGATTCCCGCCGGAGTTGACGAAGAGGAGGCCCGAGCTCACCGAAGAGACGTCGGGGCGGCGCGGGCAAAGAGCTTGGGCGGCGGCGAGGCGCTGCGGGAGGCGGCGGAGGTCGACGCCTCGGCGCGGGGCGACGGCCGGCTGTGGGCGCGGCCGAGAGGGGCGGCGGCCGGCGGCGTGCGAAACTCCGGCGACGGCCGGAGCACGCGGCGGCGGGGCAGGGCGC